AACTTAAGAGAGTTATAGTTGGGGGGCTTATGATTCAGAAACTCATATGGTGACTTCTTCAAAGAAATTGAAAATAAATAAATAAATAAACTGAGTGATTCATTGATTCATAGATGAAGTATTTATACATGTGTACATACACTAACCGTGATATTAACGAAATTGTTCATAAACCAAAAATTGGAAGCTGTAACTAATCGTAACTAACATATGAAGCTGACCTGGAGTCTGGGAGGGTGCTCCAGTTCCAATACTGGGGAGTATCACCCCAAATGATACTGAGAGCTCTAGCAGCAAGCATGTAACACTTCTTACCACTCTTTCTCTCCAATTGAAAGCTCTGCATTTCAGATATTGGACAACAAAACATTCAACCAACAACAACAACCAATTCAGGTTTTTTTTTTTTTCCTTTTCTTTTAAAGAATTGTTGTCTCTCTCTCTCAAGTTTCAAGGCTCAATCAGTGTAAAATGATTAAAAAGACCTAAATAATAGTAGAAGGAGAAATGAAGATTGAAGAATATTCACCTTAGTACCCTGGTCGATGATGATAGGGTGATGGGAAAGAGCGAGATAGAGGGTTTTCTTCGAAGGAGAGTTAGCAAGCGAAGTAGATTCGGAATCGGCGCGGGAAATGATGATATCGGCATCGGAAGGGAGAAAATGATTCCACACATCGTCGGATTCAGCAGCAGAACAGAAAATCTTTGAAACGACAGAGAGCCTGCACACGTCAGCAGGAGTCGTATAAGATAGTATGGTAGCGATGCATCCTTCTGGTAAAGCCTGAAAATCCATCCTTTTTTCTGAGAGAGAGAGAGAGAGAGACACACACACCCCTTTACACACACCACACCGATTGTTGATTTATAAAACCCAGTAACCCACCGTGCTAAGAAACGAACATTAGTTCTGTGTACTATTGCATACTTTTTATGTTTTTTTTTTCTCCTTTTTATTTGTCCAACACGTGTAAGTAACCACCCATCTAATTTTATTTTATTTTTTTGGTAAACAGCAACCATCTGATTTACTCATAACAAAGGTTAGTTTTGGTGTAATATATTTATTTATTTATTTATTTATACATTTAAATAACAATATAATTTTTATATTAATTCTTTAATTTAATGGAAAAAATAATTTTCATTTTAAATAACACAACTTTGTGTCATTTTAATGAAACTATATCGTTTTGACGTATTTTTACATTCTCTCTCATCTACTTTCTTTTTCTTCATAATTTTATAAAAAAGAGAAAATGTAAAAAATTACTAAAAATATATCAAAGCAACATAGTTTCAAAAAAAAGACACAAAATTATGTTATTTAAAATTATAATTATTTTTTCTTAATAATTTTATACTATTAGTTTTTATGTTTTAAAGAAAAACATATAATTTAATTTTTAAAGATTAAGAGAAAATTTAAGATTATTTAAATCCAAAAAATTTTACTTTTAAAGAATAATTAAAAATTAAATTAAAATAATTAATTAAATAAGAGCAGTTAATTTAATTTTAATGTATTGTGATTAAATAACTGTAAGATTTTGTATAATCTTCTTCTAACCCTACAAAATGGTGAGTTTATTTCTAAGAGAAAAAAAAAATTGGTAAAAAAGAGAAAGAGAAAAATTGGGGAAGGATATACTTACCACCAAAAAAGTTTACAACCTTTACAGTCAACCTAATCATCATTGATTTTCGTCAATTTAACTGTTATAATTTATGGAAATTATTGAGTCGCATTTATTAATTAATTAATAATTTCTAATAAATTATAATCGTTAGATTAACGGAAATCATTGGTAATTAGATTAGTTGTAAAGGTTGTAAATTTTTTTGGTGGTAAGTATAACCTTCTTAAAAAAAAAATTATAGCATAGCAAATTGTTTAAATAACCGTGTACAAAGAAGTTAGTTAAATTGCTGTGTACATTTTTAAATTTTCCTTTATAATTTAAAATTTTAACATGATTTATATAATTTTAAAAGAAAAAAAATAAAATTGAATTGGCTTCAAACTTTACAATATGTTTGGTTTTGTTTTTTCTTCTATTATTTTTCTTTTTTTTCCTCAAATTATTTCTTTCTTTTTTATTCGGATATGTTTGATATATTTTTCTCATATTTTTATTTTTTTTAATAGGAGAACTTAAATGTTACATATATAAATCTAAATGTACAAAGATATTGTCAAACATATATTAAAAATAATGGGAGAGATATTTTGACTCTGATGTAAGATTTAAAAATCTATCTCTTTATCTTAATCGTTGATTTCTGTCCATCTAAGAGTTATAGTTCATTGAGTTATAGTAATTAATTAATTATTAATTTTAAATAAATGATAATATTAAATTGATGGAAATCAATAGCTAAGATGGAGAGTAAGACTTTCAAGTCTTACATCAAACTAATATATTCATACACAATGGGTAGAGGTGGCAAAATGAGTCCCCCATCCCGCCTTGCCCAACCATCAATCTGTCAAATAACGAGCTAGTCCCCCTACTTTTGAGAGTGGGCTGAAAAACTCGGCCCACCCCGCCCCGTTTTCCTGGCGGGCTAAATTAGCCCACTGCTCCGAACATGTTTTACACTAACCCGCCCCGCCATCAACCTACTAAAAAAGAGCCAATCCAATGTGCCTTGCTTTTGAGAATAGGTTATAAAACTCATTTTGTCACGTCCCATTTGGCGGACTGAGTTGATCGGGCTGCCGAGCTAAGCCCGTTTTACTGGCCCTTCCAACGAGTACATATCACAATGATGAAAAGGTCAAAAGTTTGATCCTTAAAAAATATTTTTAAGTTCACTAGGTCAAAATTCTAATATATATATATATGACAGGTTATATTTACAAATTTTTTTGTTTACAAACTACACTAAGTACGACTGGTCATACTTTAATCATGCAATGTACGACCGGTCGTACTTAGTGTAATTTGCAAAAAAAGTTTGTAAACGAATTTTATCCCTATATATATATATATAAAAGATATTTTTATATTGATGTAAGAATAAGAAATCTTACACCAAATCTGTATCATTGATTTACTTATATTTAATAGCTCAAAAATCTAATAAATAAGAACCGTTAGATATAAATAAAATTAATGATTAAAATTGAGATAGTAACTTACACTGCAATAAAATGATGCTGATCAGGACATATGGTCAGAATTATTTTACATCAGTCTAAATTACACTTTAAATCTTATTCTTTAATTCTATTTATATCTACCTGCTATGATTACTAAATATGCAATTTATTAGATGTAAGTAAATCAATGACAAAAATTTCATCTAAAACTTCTCGATCTTATACCGATTCGTCACATATGCCGAGATAGAAATATAGTGATATAGCATTTAAAATCTCCTCAATTCTAATGCTTGGCGATATGAACTTTGATTCTTTTCACTTCATTATATGCGAATATATAAATTTTAAAATGTGCACATAACATTTTCGTGTGAAAACAAATATGAAAGCTTACTGACACATGCAATATCAAAGATGTAACTTTTTTAAAAAAAAACGAAAAATTATTTATTTCAAAATCAAAACATATTATAAGAGTAAGCGATGATTATTAATAACACTTACATAATCATTCTAGCTAAAAGATGAAGCGTGTGTATGACAACCTTCTCAGAATCAATTCTTTTTTAATTTCTGTTCCTGAGAACAAAAATGAATAAGAAACTCGTTTGGTAAAATCGGTTTAATTTTTTGTTCCCGGGATGAACCGGTTTAATTTTTGTGCTAGAGAACAGAAAAAAGAATAAAAAAAAAACTGCTTTTTTTGTTCCGGGACACAAAATGAGAAACATTTATCCCTCTCAATCACTCTCCACCATCGTACAACTAGTGTCATCGTCACCACCCCTCGCCACCACGATGCCACCACCACTTCCATCTATCACCACCATCACCACCACCACAATTGCCGCCGCCGTCGCCACCATCACCACCACTATCACTGTCACCACCACCATCACCGTCACCACCACCATCACCACTACCGCCACCATCGTCATCACACGCCACTGCCACCACCCCTATCGCCATCACTACCACCACCACCACGACGCCACCATTACCATCACCACCACGTCACCAACCACCACTACTATTGCCGCAGCCACTACCGTCACCACCACCGTCATCGCTGCCGCCGCTGCCAACCACCACCACCATCGTCACTGCCATTACCGTCACCACCACCACCATCGCCACCATTACACCACCCCCATCACTACCATCACCACGCCATTGCCACCACTACCACCACCACTGTCACCTACCACCACCGCCGCAGCCACTACCACCACCACCACCACCATGCCACTACTACTATTGTTGCCGCCACCAACCACCATACCCACCACCATTGTCGCAACCACTGTCGTCACCTCCACCACCACCATCCCCACCACTACGACGACCGCTGCCACCATTACCAATGTCATCGTCGCATCCACTGCCGTCTCAACCACCACCAATATCTTCACCACGTCACTGCCACCACCACTACCGTACCGCTGCCGCCGCCACCACAACCACACTATGTGGAAAGGAAAGTGATGATCCAGAATTTATTTATTTTAATAGGAATTATTATTTATTATATTATTTGTTGTGTTATCAAACACGATTCTCATTCTCGGAATAAAAATAAGACATGTTATCAAACACTTTTTTTTTCTCAGAAACTGTTCCATGGCACAGAAATAGAAAAGAATTGTTTCTTTTCAGAAACAGTGCTAGGGAATAGAATGGTTGTCATGCACACCCGAAGTAACTGACCACTTTATTTGCAGTGTATATATAAAGGGATTTGATTTTCTCATGTTGCATGAGAATTGAATTCTCATGTCATGTTGTGACTCAACTAGTGGTGGCCCCATATTTATTAAAAAGAGAAAAAATAAAAGTTTTGCACGCAAATCGAAAAGTAACAACATAAAAATTGAATTCTCATGCAACATGAGAAAATATTTTTCCATATATAAATTAAGCCTCTCGCAATTTGTAAAAATTAACCACGATTCCATATATTTTTTAGTTTGTCACCCCATTTTTGCAGGACCCTCCTAGGGCGGTAGCTAGGCCCAACTCCTATTATTGGGTCATTGTGTTTATGAACAGACAATTTAGGCCTAACTTCAATTCCTTGAAGATAGAAACCATGCTTCCACCAATTACTCTCTGTCTCCTTAACACTCATCTCCACTTCTTCATCTTCTACACCTGAATTGAAGAACTCCCCCATCTCAATTTCCAACCAACCGTCGCTTCTCACACTTGGACGTTGCAAGCCCTTGAATCTAGCATCGAGTTGCGTCTCTTCTAAGTTTGGGTCCAAACAGACATTTTTGGTACAGCCACGGCCTCCAAATGTACCTACGGAACACTCCACGGGACAATAGTGAAACCCACTTGCATCGATCATCTTGAATACAAGAAAAGCTGCATAATTAGTGTCTGACGACAACTCATGGGCATTTATCTTCCCACGAATTTCAAACCAGCACACTTGTACAAGTTCAGCAACTTCCTCGAACCTGTTCAACAGTTGTGCAAAGGAAATAGAAGAATGACATGTGGTACGGAAACAAAAAACAAAAAAACATCCACAGTAAGTAGTAAAACAAAAACCTCAATAAATGCTGACCTGGACCCCGGCAAGGTTATCCAGTTCCAATACTCAGGAGTATCACCCCAGATAATGGAGAGGTCTCTTGCGGAAAGCATGTAACACTTTTTCCCACTTTTTCTCTCCAATTGAAAGCTCTGCATTGAGATTTCACAAACCAAAAGCTTAACATTCTGAACCACACTTAAATTCAAAATAAATAAACTACAAAACAATTTATCAATTAGCAAACATCCAAAACCAATAAGAGCTTTGGTAATTCCTACCTCAGAAAAGAAGAAAGAAGCATTGGTTGGGACTAATGAATCAGATTGTTTTTTGTTATATTTTTTAGATCTTACTGAGGTAAATAAGAAAAGAATGTTTCATAAGGAATACTGAATTCTTTGTTAATTTGAAAGTAAATGTACTGAATGAATGAGATTCGGTCCCTGGAAATGAACCAGATCTAACATCAATAGACAGAGTTATGAGATGCAACCTAACCTCCTATTCATGTATCATAATATTATTTGGTGTGGTTCAAGTGAAGGTTTGAATCCATAATGATAAGTGAGGGTAAATTAATTTTAATTAGGAAAGAAGATAGCATACCTTTGTACCATGGTCGATGATGATGGGATGATCGGAGAGAGCAAGATAGAGAGCCTTCTTAGAGGAAGAGGTAGCGAGCAAAGAGGATGAAGATTCGGAAATGATAGAGACCAAATCGGAGGGAAGAAAACGATCCCAAAGAGAATCGGATTCAGCTGCGGAACAAAAGGCCTTGGAAATGAGGGAGAGACTGCATACATCCACAGGAGTGGTGTATGATAGTATGTGAGCGATGCATCCCTCCGGCAAGGCTTGTAACTCCATCGTGCTTCTGTTTCAGTCTATGCCCATTGGTGTTGGGCAGAGCATAGAATATAAACGGGGTCAAACTAACGCTTCTACCAAAATCACCTTCGGTTGCTTTGGTCGTTTATCTTATCTCATGTCGTATTGGACTGGCTGACACCACATTCTTAGTGAGTAAGGAATGTGTCATATATATAAGATATGGGTGACGAATAATATGCTTAAGGATTTAATATTTTAGAAGATAATTTTATTTCCTACACACGTATATATAAAATATGTTGGACATACAAAATATGTGACGCCATGTGAAAAAGAAAAAGAGAAAGAGAAAATATAGATCTTATATATTTTCATATATGGGTTCATTTTTTCTGCAGTTACTGCATATAAGTTATCTGTAGTAAGTCAATACGACGTCGTTTTGAGGCGGAATTCATGGTGTTTTTGTAATTTTAATTTATTTCAGGGTTATAATAGTCTTTATATTTATAATTTTTTGAGATTTCAATACCAAAACGACGTCGTTTTGGGAATAAATGCAGATAACTTATCTGCATTAATTGCAGAAACATTTTTCCCTTTATATATATGTAGAAGATAATTTTATTTCTTATAACATGATAAACATAAAACCTATGTTTAAATTCATATTTATTACTTTCCAAAAAAAATGCATATTCATTTATTATGAATATTTATTAACTTTAAAAGAACATTTATTATAAATTTCTCTCTATGTTTGATCGTTTTCTTATTTAAGCATAATTAGATTAAGGAAAAATATTTTTTCATATTATTGCAGAAAGTATTTTTCACATCATAATACGATTTATGTGCTTTACTTTATTTATTTTAATTTTTAACAGTGAGACTCACCTTAAACATGTGTCATGTGCGTGTAGGAAAATTTCTCCTCTCATGTGGAAGGAGAAAAACAAAGCCCTTAGGGAGCGTTTGGTAGAGGAAGAAAAAAAATTTGTCCGAGAATCTCAATTTTCAAAAATATGATTTTTACATTCAGTTTATGATAATATCTGAAAATTTAAAATTTAGAAAAATTTAATTTCTCGAGAATCTTAAAAAATGACGCATACGAAATGCCCCTTAGACTATTTAAGCATTGCCTTTATTTTTTTATTTTTGTCCTTTTTTAATGTTTGGGACAAAATTAGATGTTCACACAAGATATTAATGTTAAGTTTTTTTTTTTGGTAACTCTAATAATTCTTCTTATGACTTTATAACTTGTTTGTAATCGAGGAACTTATAATTTTTTCATTTGCCTGTCTAGTTAACATCACCAATAAACTTTAGTTATGTTATGTCTGCTTAGATGAAAATCGAAGCGAGTTTCTAAAAAGTGGGAGTTTTCTTATGTAAAACAGCTTTAAAAATGTTATCAAAAAAAAAAACAACAACTTTAAAAATAAAAGTTTGTGTATGTTAAGATAGAATGAAAAATATAAGTGTTATGAAGGGGAGTGATTATTATTATGATTATTATTTCCTTATTTTATGGTTTTTTTAATTATTTTTTTCTTGTTTTGTTTGAATAGGAAAACAACATTATGTTCACCAAATTGTTGTTTTAATCATAATTTACTATATTTTTAACAATGTATGTGAATAAACAAGAAAATATAATTCAAAAAAAAGTTAACCTGAATAAAAAATTATTGAATTAATAATAAAATAATTACAAGTATTTAATAGAGAGTATAGTTGACAATAAAGAGTCTCAACAATTTTACCTTATAATAAATAAGGGTTTTATAAGAGTTATGTTGTAGAAAAAGTGATTGTGTAATGTTATAGAGATTCATTTTGCGTGCCGTAATTTTTTTTTCTTTTTTCTTCAAAAAGTGTGGGCCCCACAAAATGTTGTGTGTGTAGGAAAATTTGTTGTGTCATGTTAAATGACACATGCAAACCCCAATAAATAATCATGAGAAACCATCATACAAGAATAACCATTTTTTATTATAAGTTTTCATAATTATTTTATCAAAGGCGGTTATATATATTACCATTTTAGGCTTATTATTCTTACTACCTGATTGGTTACGTTGGATTAATTTGAAATTAATGATTAAAATATAGAAAAAATTAGTTGTTGTTAATTTCTATTTAATCCAACTGTTTCCAATTAAGTAATAAGAATAGTAAGGCTAAAATAATAGTAAGTATAACTTCCCCTCTTTTAACACGTTACTTTTAATTTTTTCTAAATTTTTTATTTAAAAACATTTTTATAAAATTGTAACATTTAATTCAATTCTCATATAATATTTAAAAGTTGGAAAGAGAGAATGTCTCATGTTATCTTCTCTTTAATTTTATTATAGTTTTTTTTGGTACATGAAACTTTAGGAGGGGAAATGTTGTATTATATTTAGAGATAGCTTATAGCGGTCCATATTGAATAATTGATGACTTACTAATGAAAATTCTATAAAACAAAGGGCTTGCAATTTCTCATGTTGCATGAGAAATGCAAGTTTTCTTACAGAGAGAGAAAGGGGTGGGGCCCACTTTAAAGAAAAAAATAAAAAATAAAAAAATGATTGGCACGAACATCGAAGTGAGAGTGGTAGGAGAGGAGATTTCTCATGCAACATGAGAAATCTTTTTCCCTAAAACAAAATACACCAAAAGCCTTTTAGACTTTTAGTTGACCTTATTTGATTTTATCAGCTGAACTAACTAGTAATTATAGTAATTTGTGATCAATATATTGTGTAAGTACATATTTATAATAATATATCTAAATAATAAATAAATAGGTAAATACATCTTTGTAGAATAAGTTAAATAAATTAGGTTAAAATAAGCCAAAACTAAGTTTGGCCATAAAATAGTGATAAATCGAATCTGCTATTATGATAGATTCAACTATCTAGACAATCAATACAGAAAAAAAAAAACATACGGAAATTGATATTGTTAACGGCAATCCAAGGATGCCGGCAACTCCAGAAGGTTTTTGCAAGGAAGAAGGAGAAGTTTGTTACAAGATATTTAGCTAAAACCCCCTAGTGGTCCCCTACTAACCTATATAGCAACAGAATCCAAATTGCAGAATGAAACTAAGGATGGGCCTATGTATACCATAAGCCCGTTATTTCTACTACTCTTGCTGATCAGCCCATCATGGGCTCTTCCAACTCACATCCCATAATCCACTTCCATTTATCTCGTTCAGCCACCTGTTAGTATCAAAGTCCATCAACTAGCCACCTGTTTTCATCACTCACCCACCATCTAGACACCTGTCGGTCAGCATCACAAAGTCCCTAAGCCATTGAGGTGTTTGCTTCTCTCTCTTCTTTGCACAACGTTGTTCATCTCTATTCGTGTCCCCTTCTCTCTGTCTTTCGTGGTCTATTTTACCTTCCATAGCTACTGAGCTTATGGGGTCTGTAGGACCATTTGGGAGGTTCATATCATTTCCCTCCTCCCTTGAAGACACGATCTTTCCCTCAAGATCGAAGTTTGGGAAGGCTTGGCAAAACTCAGAGTAAGAGACCCAAGTCGCGTCTTCCAACGGTAATCCTTCCCACTGCACTAAAAGTTGCAAAATTTCTTCATTTCCATGTTGTAAAACATCCTCAGGAGCCATTCTGATTTGATGGTACCCTGAGCGTAGGTCCATCTTGGAAAAAATGATTGCCCCTGCTAACTCGTCTAACATCTCATCTACAGTAGGAATTGGGAACCGGTTCGGTATGGTGACTTGGTTTAGTGCTCTATAATCTACACAGAATCTCCAAGTTCCATCTTTCTTCTTTACCAACAGAGCTGGTGATGAGAAAAGACTCAGGCTCGGTCTAATAACACCAGTATCAAGCATTTCTTTTACCATCTTTCTATTTCTGATTTTTGAAAATAAGGATACCTGTATGGTCTAACATTCACTACCTTTGTTCCAGGTTCAAGATGAATTCAGTGGTCTTCTGGCCTGGAGGGAGGTAACTGGCTGGGAGTAGCAAAGATATCCTCGTACTCCTGCAACACTGGTTGTATCAAGGAATGTCAAGTTTCCACTATATAAGGCTCCTTCGAGCGTTGGTGATCAATGGTCTGTAATTGGAAATAAGTAGCTACAGCATCAGAGTTGCTTAGTCTACGGAGCTGATGCAGTTCTATTGGTTCTACTTGCATCCTTGTCTCCCCCTTCAACTCAATCATCTTCCCTTCCTTTTCAAACTTCAGGACTAGCTGCTTGTAATTAGTGGTTACATCTCCAAATTCAGACAACCATTGCACTCCCAACACTACCTCGGCTCCTGTATAGGTAGTACAAACAGATCTGGAAAGAATTTGTATCTCTGCAATTCCAGCCCCACTTGTCTACAAACCCCCTTACATCCTAGACTGGCCCTATTCCCCACTAGCACCTTAAACTGCCCGATGGGTTTCACCTCCAACTCAAGAAACTTGACTATCCTTTCTTGTACAAAGTTATGAGTGGAACCCCCATCCACCAATACCTGGACATGATTCTTATTGATAATCCCTTTCAACCGCAGGGTGCTGGAAGAATATCGACCATCCATAGCATGTAAACTAATGCCAGGTATTTCCTCCTCACCCCCAATCTTCTCATTCGTGACTTCAATCTCTTCATCTTTTTCTTCCTCCTCATCTTCTTGAATAAGCATTAGGAACATCTTTCCCTTGCATACATGGTTTTGGTTGAACTTTTCATCACAATAATAACAAAGCCCTTTCTCTCTTTTTTCCATCATTTCAGTTGCTGACAAGCGTTTAATTGGTACAATTTATTTCGATGCTCCAATTGTGTTGACCACCCCTTTGTTTGGAGGTTGTAACAAGCCGGGTTGATGTTTAATTGTCTGGTTGTTGGTGAAATTTCTCTGGTATCCCAATCGTGCAGGAGTTCGGTCATTGAACTTATCTTCCACCACTTTAGCCAATTTAATGGCATTTTTGCAATGATTCAGGGAGATGCATTCGGACCTCATTCCGAATTTCAGACTTGAGCCCATTCTCGAAGTAGCTTTGCAAGGTAACGTCATCGATCCCTATGATTAGATTGGACAACTGTTCAAACTCCTTCTGATATTCTTCTACTGTGGCATTCTGTGTCAACCTTCCCAATTCTCCTCGGAGATCTCTATACT